CCCCCACCGTTTTTGTTTGCGCTCACAGGGAAGACTGACATCACGTGGATGATGTTGGATGCTGGGGCTGAGACAGACGTGGTCAACTCTGTGGGGAGGACCGCCGCGCAGATGGCCGCCTTTGTTGGTATGTGTGGACACCACACACACAAGTACGCCAACTTAAAATCGATTTTTTTTTTCCCAAGCTATGAGCCGTTGCTTAGTGTAAAGTCGGGCTGAACAATTTTGAAAAATCCAGTTGTAAATTTTCCCCCTCACTATTGCGATTTAAGATATAATTCATTTTTCTAAGTGCTCTTCCCATGTGCACGAACTGAGCACTCATAATGCCGTTGCTTTGGATACTTGTCAGATTTATGTCCACATATGAAAGTTGTCCAGGTCAAAAAAAAAAAAAAAAAGTGGAATTGTGCCGTTGAAGTTGCATGAATAAAACCAAATCTGATGCATGTTGCATATGGGCTAAAAAAAACAAAAAAAACATCGTAATTGACCCGCAAGTATGAACATAAACCCTGACGCAGCTGGCATCTTGTTATCCAGGTCAACACGACTGCGTGACGGTGATCAACAACTTCTTCTCTCGCGCCCGACTGGACTACTACACCAAAGCCCAAGGTCTGGAGAAGGAACCCAAGCTGCCCCCGAAGCTGGCTGGACCTCTTCACAAGATCATCATGAGTACCAACCTCAACCCTGTTAAGGTGAAAAGAGCAGTGCCGCGAAATGACTTTCTTAGCCATAAAAATGTATATGGGGCATCCAAAAGGTAAACGCGCTAATTGCGGGGATATCGCAGACGCACCTGCGATAGGTGAAAATCTACAAAACAGAAAGACAATTTAAAAGTGTCTTTTCTCGTTTCAGCTCTCCCACACGCTAACTCTCGCTTAGTGCCTGTGCTAAAAAAGAAAGAAAACATCTTTCGGCCCACTTGTCTTACCAATTATCTTTTTTTTTTTTTTTTTGATGCGGTCAGCAAAACTAAATACGATACACCCAAATGTGAAACACCATAGCATGACTCTGGACAATTAGAGTGTCATGAAAGGCTCTGAAAGCATTCGAGACGTGAAGGGAGACGCAGCAGGCACGGGCCAATCGCCTCCTCTGTTTTAGTGATTCCGTCCTTTCCGGTGTCAGATGGTGCTGCTGGTGAAGGAGAACCCGCTGCTGGCCTCTCCCTCGGCCCTGGACAAGTGTCGTCGCGTGATGGAGCTGATCTGCGAGAAGTGCATGAAACAGCGTGACATGAACGAAGTGCTGGCCATGAAGATGCACTATATCAGCTGCGTGCTGGCCAAGTGCGTCTCTTTCCTCAACGAGCGCGATGACCAGCTGGACGGACTCGTTAAAAGGCCAGTGACACGAGTCAGTGACACGAGACGATGTGGACGACGTTACCGCCATTCAAAAATGGTGGGACGTACGCGAACCATTTCGGTGGAAAACGACGATCCGACCACTAGTACTGCTTACAAAACAGACCCCTGACTAGATAGGTCTGTGCGACAGCTGCAGCTGACAGCAGGTTCCGCATAAGTGTGCTTTGAGTGTCTTTTACTCTTCCCCAGGCGTCCAATAAACAGTGGAAAAGTACATAAGCAATTTTCTCTTTTCTCACATGTGAGGCATTCCAGGAAGTTTCTTTTAAAAACCCATTCAAGAAATCATCCATCCATCCATCCACGGGGGTGTGCTGGAGCCGATCGCAGCCGTGTTCGGGCAGTAGGAGGGGGACACCCTGAACCGGTTGCCAGGGAACACACAGACGAACAGCCCTTTGCGCTCACATTCACACCTCGGGACAATTTAGAGTGCTCCGTAAACCTGCCGTGCATGTTTTTGGAATGTGTGGGGAAACCGGAATACCCGAGGAAAACCCACGCAGGCATGGGGAGAACCTGCAAACCCCACACAGGGAGGCTAGTGCCGGAATTGAACCCTGCGCCTCTGCACCGTGAGGCTAACGAGTTATTTAAAACAAAACAAAAAAAACCACAACACAATATCGTTCGGGGTACGAAAGATGAACTGCGATATCATGGCGCCTCATTCTGCTCACTTTATATTAGCTGTGCTCAGAAAGTAATTTTTTGCTCTCGCCATCTTACGTCTACAGTCTTACAGTGTGACTTCTTATCCTCTTCACATTTAACATTTTTTGACTCGTCGTCGTTTTTCCTCCCCGCAGCCTGCTGAAAGGCCGAGACAGCGACGGCTTCCCGGTGTACCAGGAGAAGTTCATCCGCGAGTGTGTGCGCAAGTTCCCCTACTGCGACGCCACGCTGCTGCAGCAGCTGGTGCGCAGCATCGCTCCAGTTAGCATCGTGAGTTCACCGCCTGTACCTCTACTATGACTGCAAACGAGACACGGTGTTTAATCCAGAAATAGCAAGCATTAGGTTGTGCGAGGAGAAAGTCAGACTTAAGCCACTGATGTCACTCACTAGGCCCTGCCCCTTAAAGGCACATGCACAACACATGAATACTGTTTTATTTTATTTTTTCTCTCTCCCCCTCCACCGCAACAGGGCAACGACCCCACAGCTCTGTCGGTGCTGACGCAAGCCATCACGGGTCAGGTCGGCTTCATGGACGCAGAGTTCTGCACCACGTGTGGAGACAAAGGAGCCCAGAAAAGATGCTCCATTTGTAAAATGGTGAGCGCTCGCTTCTTTCTTGGATCGCACGACAAGCAAACTTGCTCATAGGCTACATCTTTACAAGTTACAACTGAGTCCTCTGATGAATGATAAACAACAAAATAGACAACCAAGCGTTCGCGCTTACAATCACGGCGAGGGACAATTTCGAGTGTTCCATCAACCTACCATGCATGTTTTTGGAATGTGGGAGGAAACCGGAGTACCCGGAGAAAACCCACGCAGGAAGCCTGGAGCCCGAAATCGAACACGAGACCTCTGCAGTGTGAGGCGGACGTGCTAACCGATTGACCGGCTTGCCGCCAGATTTTGATGAAATATATGTAAAAATTGAGAAGTTGAATTATATTTCTCTTCAAGAAGTAATTGTTATTGGTGCACCTTATACTCCGAAGCGCCTTATAGTACGGAAAATACGGTAATTCAGATGACATAAATGAGACATTTTTAAATAATGGAGGGAAAAAAAGAAAAATCTCAATTTAATTCGTCTTTGAGAATAATGAAAATAATCAAAAACCATAGCCAGAAATATGTCCATGAAGTAAGAGGACATGTTGAGTTCCTTGGCAGAGGTCACAGTATTTATTGATTTCATCTCCATTGTATTGTCCGTTTCTGCCACCAGGTGACCTACTGCGGCCAAGCGTGTCAGAAGTTGCACTGGTTCACGCATAAGAAAGTCTGCAAGAAACTTGAAGAGCAGCGAGAGGAGCACCAAGCGCAAAGCAACCAAGTCACAGGTTGGTTAACATCAGTCACTAAAAGCCCCCGTCTGTGCACACATCTTTTGAATTTAGAGTTGAACATTAGTCACGACAGTGATCAGCTATTCAAAAAAGTTATGTAAAGAGTCTTGATGTCAAAATTGAACAACTGTCAACACAGCGGACAGCTGCTCAGAAGTCTGGAGTATCGACTATGCGAGATTCATATACGTCATGAGTCTGTGTCCCTTTTGTAAATGAAAATTCACTTTTGAGTTGTGTGGGTGTGTTTCAGAGGAGAGTGAAGCAGTGGACGAGGCCTCGGAGTCCATGAAGCAACTTCACGTGGACGCCAACAGCCAGACCGCCTCCGCACATCAGTGACCCCCCCAACAAGTGTGTACACAACAAAAAACACCACACATCCATTCGCTGAACACAACAAATCCAAAACCACTTGAGGCTCCCGCGGACATTTTAAGAGCCGTTGCATCTATTTTATCCGCTGCGCAACTCGGATGCCCCGTCTTTGAGTGGAGAGAGAAACTCGGGGAGAACCGCGACGAGACAAAATATGTACATTGTGAAATATTTATAAGCGCAGTACTGTATGTGCATTTAGATGGTGTTGTGTCAGGGTTTCGTTTCCATAGGGTGCGTTTAATAAATAAACTTGACAAAATTTCCATGAAAGTCTACATTTTCAAAGGATCATCAGGAGAAAGTAAGTTTGGGAATATAGACCTTTTATTTTCTTTCGTTTATATTTAATGAGACTTGAAGGGATTAAAAAAAAAACAAAACTTTTTTGTGTGTATTTCCCCATGAAACGAGTGAATCTTTCGATTGCTTCCCAGGCGAATCAACTGTGGATGCAATGATTACTTAAGCCCCGCAGGGGGCAGCATTTTATAGTGATGAAGTAAGTGCAGCTCTGTCGAGAAGACGAAAATCAAATCACTTTAATCAAGTTTTAATGAGCGACACTGTTTCAGAAATGTTAATTTGTTTTTTCGATATTCTTTATAAATGTGTAAAAACGCATAAACTGTTTGCTTTTTTAGTACTTTGAAATATGTAAAATACTTTCAAACGTTTTATTTTTATTGATAGCTGTTTCCCATTAAAAATATTTTAGAATGTATTTAAAACATTCTAATTTTATTCAATTTTTTGAACCTCAAGGTTGAGATGGGCAAAGATAAATTCCAAATATTGACTTTTATTTGAGTCTATTTTAAATAATATGAACAATGGAAATAAAATACACTGCACTTATTTGAAATGTTTTTTTAAATATTTTGTTCAGTGTTTATAAAACATTTTACTTCTATTTTGACATTTTCACATTTAAAAATACATAAAAATATAAATGTCAACGGCTTATATATTGATTTATTTGGGGGGATTTATATAGCTATATATTCAGATTCAGAAAACTTTATTTATCCCCATGGGGCAATTAGAGTGAATAAATAAATGTAAAAATACAAAGTGTATGTTAAAAAAATACAAATATGAAGCAATTAAAGTTTTTAAATCTTTTTTAACTGCGAAATTAAGAATTTTTTTTTTAAATAGAGATCTTGTAAGTATTAAATGCAAGTGTCCATGTTTGTATGGTAAAATGAATCATCTTTACTCAAATGAGATATTTTTGGTTAGGGGTGGGGTGGGGGAGTCAAAATACCCCAGCTCCCAATGCATTTTCATGTGAGGAAGAATCAGTTAAACCTTTTTTTTCCTTTCTTTTTGAACAAGCACCCTAAATATGAAAGAAAAGCATCGGCCTGGAGGGCATTAAAGGGACATTCCAGCAATTCCACATGTCCAAGTCAATTTATTCGTCACAGTGAGGAAAAAAAAAAAAGACTCCGATCAAGATGTGGAGGCGGGCTAAGCAGATGACTGGCAGCTTGTGCTTCCCGGTCTATTTGAATGTGATTGATTTTTTTTCTTGAAGTGTGTCACGCTTGAAGAAGTTGTCCCACCAAAGCCTCGCTCCGCTCCCGAATCAAAGCTGATGTCAGCTCGGCCACTTTTGCCACAGACCTCGCCCATCGCTCGGCATCCTGGGAAAAGAAACAACAAATCTAGTGTTCATGATTGGTGATACAGAGATTAAGACAATTTTTATTCCTGCGACGCAATTCTATGTAACGAGCGGATGATTGGGACGAGCGGTTGGTATGATAAATGCGGCGGCGGTTGGTTCGTTGTTGTTGATTAATGAGAGTAATCGGCGTGAGCTTGTGCGTGCCTTGTTCGTTCTTTTATTCCCCTGACACGTGAGAGCAATTTTCCAAGAATTGCGCAACCAAATGAAGACGCTTTGGTGTTTTCAAAATGTCACATTTAAACACAACAGGCCACCGAGGTCTTTTTTAGGTTTGCTTTTGCTATTGTTTTGGTTTTTTTTTCCTTTCCTACTCAGTTTTCTTAAATTTCACCCCCCCTCGATTTTTTTTATTTTATTTTTTTATTTCAAATCCTTTAGGGCATTTTCAGACGTCCTTCAAAGTTTGATTGCTACGGAATTTGAACTACATATCCAAGACAGCTTGGCAATGATAAAGTGCGAAACGGTCCTGTTTTGGTCGCCCAAACACTTTTTTTTTTTTTTTTGCTCAATATTGCTACGCAATTTGAACCCGATATACCGATCTATGACGCCACGTTCGGAAGCATTTGAGTTGTTGTTTTGAAAGGACGTTTGATGACTCGCCATAAAAACACAAATATTACTCAGCGTCAAAGTTTGACCAAGCAGCTTGTGTGTTTTGAAGAGTTGGACAGACGAGGCTTCACGCACAGCGCACGTGACGAGTTGTGTTAGCGAAGCGTATCATCGGGCCTGACCGTGGATAATGATACAAAGCAGACTGTAATCACAACCAGGGACGGAGATTATGTTACTTGATTATTTTTTTTCAAAAGGAGGCAAATGCCGCAAAGAGATGAATGAATAACTGATTGCTGATGGGCTTAATGCACTGATGGATGGATGGATGAATGATGGGCAGATTGTTAGATAAAGGAATGCATGTATTGGTGCCGTGCAGATGAGTCCAGGGTGGAGGAGATGACCTGATGAATGGGCCGATGGATGACTGGGTCATGGACTGATGAGTGGATGAATGCATTGATAAACGGAACAGAATGGTTGAGTGAGTGACCGATGGAAGAACTGATGAATTCAGGACTAGAGACGGATGACGACGTGAATCAACCGACATGAAAGGATGACTGCTAGGTGGCTGGATCAATTCGCAAAGGGACGAATGGAACAGATGATTCATAACTTTCATCTAGTCTACGCTGTCCTTTTGTTTTGGTCATCGTCCCTGAAGAAAATCCTTCTTCACGGAGACCAGATGTTAAAAATGGGAAGCAAGCAACATTAAAAAAAAAAAAAATCAGTTTCTTTGTGCAGCCAGGTACTAATGTCTCATACCCGCTGGTTGGGAATCTCCCAAGTTTAAGAGTCATTAGCATTCGACAGAAGACAGAAAAACAAAACAAAAAAGGGGAAGTCAAGATCACCGAGGAGGATCCCAGAAAGTCTCCGCTGCTCGTTCAATTCCAACCCCTCCCGATACGCGTGCAGTCTTTGAATCAAGCTTCAAAGCCGAGCGTTATTGAATCAAGTCGCCGTTTGCACGGTGGCACACAAATACTAACCAGTCGGTCTCGAAAAATGTGATCTCCGGGGGTCGAATTACTAAACAACAACAAAGAGTTGAGGCATCAAAGGGACTGGAAGTGGATGGCGGGAGGGGGGAGCTGGGGCTACCGCTCCTGACGCGGAATTGGGGAGGGGGAACGTGATCCTCGGTGGGATTAGCGCGTCTTCATCGCAGGCCAAACAGTTTTTTTGTAAATCCCTCTGATGAAACGGCAAAGTAAGCGCTCAAGGCAAAACGCCTCTCCGAGTCTTAACCGATGCCTCACCTGTTTAAAGGCCAGCCACTCATCTTCAGCTTGTTGCTATTCGCTTTATTTATTTTTTTTTCTATATCAAAGGTTGACTGAGCTTTTATGAGATTTGGGGTTTCGTTTTTTACTAGACGAGAGCACTTTCCACCACTGCAAAGCCTCAGGACACGGACACCCGATGCCAGAAGTGTCATCATTGATTGGCACGAATCTGAAGGAGTGTGATTGCAGATGTTAGTTGATGCATGTTTAGGATAAAGGCTGAGCACCGGGACATTTTCCGCCCGTCCTCTGCCATGTCCGTTATGGACTAATCCAATCTTTTCTTGGCACTTTTTATGTCCTTTTTCTTGACATGGGACTTTTTCAGCATTGCGAGGCAGGCTAACAGAAATTTGCTCAGCATAATTTGGAATAGATATGATGGTCATTGGGGACCTTCTCTGCCTCTTTGCTGTCAATTATGCTACATCTCTTCCAGTTGAGCTCAGTGCTGCCCATCATGTTGTGGCACAAAGTGTTACTACAGTGAAGGCGTGCAACTCGAAATTCGGACTTCGGGAAGAAGACAGAAAATGTTTTTACAAAAGTGCTCATATGCCTGAAACCTGACGGAACTCTTTCGCCGTTTCATGAGTGTGCCAGTTTCTTGGCAACTGTTTTTTTTTTTTTTTTTGCCGCCATTCAGTATTTGAATCGCCGCTTCACGATGTGGCACCGTTGTAGATTACAGCCGATCAAAATGCAAATGAGCTTTCACAAATGCTAAAAATAGATATCCGGTTTTTAAGCTAGCAAGATCTAGCCGGCCACCAAGCCATACAAATAGAGTATCTAAAATAAATTAAACATAGGTGCTTTACAACAATATTTAACTATATAGTCTCCTGTGGATGAAATACATCTTTTTGCAACAGCTGCAACTGTAACAAAGCCCTTTACAGGACATTTAACATAAAATGTTAACCGCTACGTACTTTGACGTACACGGGGCAGCAACACACGCAAACCCATCCTCACTCTTGAAGAAACCCGCTTCTTCCGTGAATGTTCCACAGTTTTTGTTGCCTTAGTAAAAGTGATAAAGTAGTACTATATACGGAATGTACAGCCTTATAAGACTATGCGGGCTCTCCATTTCACGTCGCATCCATCGATCAAATGGCTCAATGTACAGGTGTGAGTCACCATCTGCCGTTTAAAAAATATTTATTTGCAACGGTCCAGTCCACACAGAACCTTAGAACTGGGAAGCAGATGTGCAAAGCATTGCCACTGTGCTACACAAACGTCATTTGATGGGTGGAAAAAAAAAAATAATGTCTTCAACTGAGCGGAGCCCGTTTCTTTGCCAAATGAGGTGACAGCATTGATTTAATATTCTGTAGGTGGGGGTACTGGGCAACCACACAGTAAGCGGTTGCCCCCATGGAAGATTGGGCACGAGCTCAAAGCGAAACGGTTCCCAATCATTCCCATGTGCAGGCGTGTACGTAAACACAAGCAAAAGGGCCTTGTTATTGTTATTGATGCCGCCACTGCAACTATTTAACCGATGAGACCTCAGTCAGGGAGGACTCTGGACAGGTCTTAGAGGGAGCAAGACGAAGAGGGATTGGGGGGGGGGGGGGTACTGGGCAACCACACAGTAAGCGGTTGCCCCCCCCACCTCAAATGCCACCAACGCAATAAACGTTTTGAAGTCCAAAAGGTCTCTTTGGGTAATTACGAAGTTGGATAGTTACCCTCGCCCAAGTTCTCGGAGGGCTCCCACTTTGCTTTTTCTACTTCAAGATGAGCCAAGAGTCCTAATTAAATAACAGCTCACCAAGACCACTGGTGGGATGCCCAAACCATGAGAGAAGGAGACCCAGGGGCCCGAGAATTATATTTCAGAAAGCCTTTATGGCCTCCTGAACCCTTTCATGCACCCTGTAACTCGATAACACGATAAGCCGTCCACTGCAGTTACCGCCGTCCCTGAGAGGGTTAAATTAATCTTTGGCCTATTTATAAAAAGAAGATTTTTGACCGTCAGTGCATTTCCCCGCAGTCTGGAATCTCAAAGGGGACGTACAAAGAGCTTGAGGTCGATAATTTGTTTCATGCTAATTAGCTCCTAGCTTTGCAGTTAGCAAACATAGCATGAGCTGAAATGCTACGTATACTTTTCGATATTTCCCCTTTTGTTCAAGTCACTTTTTAAATACTCAACACTGCATTGTGATGGTGCGCGACACGTCCAGTCTCTCGTCATAAGTAGGCGGGCACCGTATTCCTATTGGTCAATGCCGAAGAACCGATCGAAGTAAAACGTAGACCATGTCACACTATGTGGAAAGACGAACAAAAATTCTGACTTTCGTGGTCGTGAAGTGTCCCAATTGTCTCACGATCATTCGTCGAGTATGTCACACTACACAAGACAACTCAAAATCGGCTTTGAGACACTACGTTTGCCTGTGACACGTATATCGGCTCTTAATCAGGCTGCATTTGTGTAGTCTAACATAGGCAGTTTCAAGTTGAGTTCACGGCCACCATGCATGGCTCCAGTCTCAAGTTTGCGCTCACAGGTCAAATCAGACAATTGTCCGAAAGATGGCATGTGCAGTATCTCCAAAAACGTATAAGTTGGGTCATTTGTACCTCAAAGCAGGACTGAATATGTATCGTAATGACTAAGCCTGTCCTGACAGCTCGTGTGCAAGCAACCGCAGACAGTTTATATAGAAAAGTGGGGTTTAGAGTTCATGCGTGTTACGCACACAACTCAGCCAATCCTCTCATGAGATGATTTACAAAGATAAGGAATTCAAAACCTTCAGTTGCAGTCGCATTAATGCCAAGGTTGATTTACGTCTGGAAAACTACTTTCCACTGGCTCTGACAGTTCTATATATCCTGTATTTGATCCCTATCAGCGTCTTCAAGCTCTTCACCGAACTAGTCAAAGCCATGTGTACGCAAGTCTCTCTAAAAGCCCCCCCCAACCTTGGTATCCTGAGGGGTGGCCGGTCTCGAAGGGTGCCATTTGGAATAAATTGGAACTGCCCGGTGACCAACAGAATCTGTGATGGATGGAGGCATTCGATTGGTGTTTAACGCATCATTTACGAGACTAGAAAATTTCCACTGGCAAATAAAATGTTGCCTTTGTACGAGAATTGACTGTCAGGATGTCGGTTTATTAAAGCTTGTTCACGGTCGGTTGTCAATGGCAGAAGTTAAGTCTGCTTTTATTACCAAGGCTGGATTTTACACTTGTTCAAGTGACTTATTGTAATTCTATTTTTGAGGTGGCGGGGAAAAAAGGCGAATAAATGAGCTACGTGCCTCACAGTTCTGAGGTTGTGAACAAATGACAATGAGGACAAAAGCGCTGGGAAAAAGATTGCAACACTGCACAAAATTACAACGGCACGATTTACAATACATGTTTTAAGTGACTTAACGTTAATTATTTTCTGCACTATAAGGCGCGCCTAAAAGCATTCAATTTTCTCAAAAGCCGACAATGCGTTTTATAATCCGACGTGCCTTATATATGGACCAATATTCTGATTTCCTGGATGTAGTATTTTAAATGTTCTGTAAAGCGTTTTTTTACAGCTGAGGCAGTTGTGAAAGCTTGATATAAATAAAGCTGTA